CCCAAATTTTTTTTTTTAGTGTTCTATCTCTATTCAACTCTTTGCGTTTTGGTTCATCTGAATGAAAGGTTCGGGTAGAAAAAGAGTGATTTGATGGTCAATCTGCATCTAATTTTGATGTTTAATTTAGTAAATCTACACTTGGAGTTGGACAAAGATATATTTCTCACTGTACTTGTCATAGATGGACCAGCAAATACATACCGAGTCCAATAAGAAATATTTACTATTGTAGTGAGAGGCTCGATGCTTCTATGCTGAGTCCGAAACCTAAATAATGGTATTTTGGACTCAAAATACCTTTATACAGTTAAAAAAAAGTTACATTTCTAACTAAAATGCAGTATTATACTGCGTTTTAGTTCAACGGAAAGTTAGCCGTTAAAGGAAAACGTAGTATAATACTGCGTTTTAATGAATAAATCATTTTTAATGTAAAACGCATTATAATACAACGTTGTATTATAATACGTTTTACTTCAAAGTCATGATGAACTTTTTCAGAACTTAGCGAAATAGTCATTTGATTTTCAGAACTTTCCATGATGGACTCAAAGTATAATTTTGCTAATTTTCTTTTTTGTATTTTATGTAGCACTTTTAAATTGTGTGAATCGATTTGTAATACTTTGAGAAAATCTTTGGCTAAATATACAAAATTTACACAGTATTATTTTGAGAAAATCTTTGGCTAGTTATAATTTTATGAAACGCACAATTGGTCATTGTCAGTAATTACAACATGCCATATTCAACTTATATATCTATCTATATCTATCTATACTATATTAAAAGCACGAAGGCCTTTAGCGAAATATCGTTCGCATTTTTTACTCCTTTAAAATATAATTCACATTAGACAAAATAGTCATTTGATTATCCTAATATTTAGGACCTAAAAATTCATTGAAATTTGTCGCAAAGTATATTAATTTTATAGTAATTACGTGGTAAATAAATCTTTAAACTTTGTCGCAAATACTAATTGAAGTAAATAAATTTCTTCTAAAAAAATACTCATTTTCCAATTGCCATATAGAAATTACTTCAAAAGAACGGCTACAAAATTTGTACGCATGTAATCAAATAATTGACTTCTTAATTATTTATTTAAGGTAAATTTTTTATTGCTTTTAAAGTCCTACAGTTTAGGTACCTAGTTTAAATAAGTAAAGATTTAATAACCAAATTTCAATGAATTTTTAGGTCCTAAATATTAGGATAATCAAATGACTATTTTGTCTAATGTGCATTATATTTTAAAGGAGTAAAAAATGCGAACGATATTTCGCTAAAGGCCTTCGTTCTTTTAATATAGTATAGATAGATATATAAGTTGAATATGGCATGTTGTAATTACTGACAATGACCAATTGTGCGTTTCATAAAATGATAACTAGCCAAAGATTTTCTCAAAATAATACTGTGTAAATTTTGTATATTTAGCCAAAGATTTTCTCAAAGTATTACAAATCGATTCACACAATTTAAAAGTGCTACATATAATACAAAAAAGAAAATTAGCAAAATTATACTTTGAGTCCATCATGGAAAGTTCTGAAACTCAAATGACTATTTCGCTAAAGTTCATCATGACTTTGAAGTAAAACGTATTATAATACAACGTTTTACTAAAACGTTGTATTATAATGCGTTTTACATTAAAAAAATAATTTATTCATTAAAACGCAGTATTATACTACGTTTTTCTTTAACGGCTAACTTTCCGTTAAACTAAAACGCAGTATAATACTGCGTTTTAGTTAGAAATGTAACTTTTTTTAATTGTATAAAGGTATTTTGAGTCCAAAATACCATTATTTAGGTTTCTATGCTACCTTCTGTACTAAAAGTGAACAAATGATACTGCAGCCGTAGTTCATTTTGTTAGCTTGTTACCATTATAATGCTCTGTTCAGGATGTAACTTTTGAGCCAATATATCCTTATTGCTGGCTATCTTTTATAAAGTTTCACATTACTTGTCAAAAAAGAAAAATTGCCTTGATAACCAGTTTTGTTGTTGACATTCTTTCATCTAGAAGATTACCTGTTAGTTTAACTAATCCTTGACATTGGTTCTTACATAGAATACCTACGTATTATGATGAAGTAATGGTGATAATCCTGTTTTGAACAAAATTGGTGAATTATGGTCATCTCCTTTTCTATCAGCTCTTCTAGGAGAAATTTGTGCATGCATTCATTGTTCGCATTTTTTGACATGAACTTTGCAGACATTGGTTTACTTCTATGAACCCTTGGAAGTAGAGCAGGATCAGGTTATTGAAGGCTCTCTGACACTGTCGCAAAGCAAAGAAAATGCTCGATTCATGAACATCCATCTTGAATATTCGTACGTTTTGGCTCAAAACTCATTTAAGGCCCACTGTCTAGCTTACTTTCAGCTTTCTGGTATTACCAATAACTTTAACTTTTTTGCATTCTTGATTGTGCAGATCTGGCGGACGTTCATTTGTCAAAGAGTCGGTCATGCGGTAAACGTACATATGACCCTCTCTGGTTTTACCTAGCGAGCCTTCATGAAGTGAAGTCGTTTGTACCTTAATCAGTTCAACCATTATGGTGCTCATACACAATTTCTGAGGATTCTGCTTGTACTTTAGGTAGGGAAACTACGGTAAGATCAGGGCATTTCCAGCCTTAACTTAAAAGCATTGACTCTGAGAATTTCATTGATGCATATAGGTGTATTAAGTTAAAACTTGTAATGTGTCGCTGCGAGAAGCCGGTCTTTCCCTGAGCTGTAATTTGTAGAGTAGATGCAGGATTGGTCTATTGATGTGTTAGAATTTTTGATAAAAGTTAGAACTTCATTTGGATATGAAAAGTAGAAAAGGGATCTAATTATTTCTTTTCAGCCGCTGCGGTAGAGGAAGTTTTTACTTTTTAATCTGTTCTGCTCCTTTCTCTTTTGTTCATTGGAGTTTGATCAGAATGCCATATGCATATTAAAGATGTGCACTTTTAACTCATTCTGGTACTTGGTTAAGGTGCACGTACCATCTCAAGCTTTAGGCAAATGCTAACTCTAATGCATAGGGCTTGTGTATTCTTAACTAATTCGTTTAGTTGGATACATTACGGAAAATAATGCATGCATTAGCTTTCGGTATTACTAATCCTTTTTTGGTATACTTTTTTAACCTATATATTATTAATGCAAGTATTAGTTATACAATCTATTTGGTATTATCCTATGTATAACTAAAACATAGTAAACCATGGTATTAGCAATATCAAGGCTATTAACGCATGCATTAACATGGTTAAAGACATTTGTCCTTTTAAGTCTATTACAGCTAAATAATATGGAGGATATTTTTGTAAACAATTAATTTTCTTAAAAATAATGTAATGCATTTTAATTTTTAATACACCACACCAAATAGTGGATAAGAAGTAAGCTTTGTATAATTAATGCTTGCATTACTAATCTATTAATTACTATTGCATCTTATTCAGTATTATTCTTATACACCCTACCAAATGACCATCTAATGACATCTTACTTAATTTCAGATAAAAACTTATCCAAGATATGAAATTAAACCAAAAAGAAGTATAAGAGATCATGCAAGTGGACTTGGCTAAAAATAGCTTATATCCAAGTGGACTTGATTAATTTCTTTTCTGAAGAGACTTCTCGTTCACTTGTAGTTCATCTCTATTTCACTTAAATATGCATGCGCCTCTTCATTTGAATGAATATCTATGGAAACAGCTTTATTTTGTAGTCTTTTGTCAATTGCCACCAATAGCCAATAGGGCCATTTGACCTATGTCCCATGTTCTCTAATTATTATTTTTGCTTTAGGAGGAGATACTTCTTGCTTTCCCATATCTAATAATTTTCACGCCTTTGACTGCCACATTAATCATTGTATGTTTCTCAAACAAGAGAAAGCAAAGGAAAATGATATAACTTCTACTGTCATTTGGTTATATACATTGGCCCGGATGACTAGCAATTCCTAATCATTACAAATTTGAAGTCTACTACAAATGATCATTCTTAGAGTTATGAATTTATTCTCTCTTAACTGACAATAAGAAGTTTCGGAGGTTGAAAGTACATTCATACCTCCTCAATAAAACACTTTACTACAACGGTATAAGTTTCTTGTTATGTTATAATATATGTTCTCTATTACATTACTTTATTATAGTAGCCAAAAAATTAGAAAAAACGAAGCTATTGTAGAGAGACTTGACTATATAGTGGAAATGACACCAGGTAGCCACTTTTAAATATGTTGTTTAAAATATATCAACAATTTACAATGTATTTAAAGATTAGTCAATTTTGCTCAAACTTCAAGACACGACGTCCCAGAGTTTAAACCTCAAAGTTCAAACTTCAGGACATTGTGTCCTAAGGTTCAAAACTTGTATCCAGAAGTTGGAATCTTATGTTCTGAATTTTAAATTAATTAGTAGTTCCGAAATTCAAGACACTTAGTTCTGAATTTCAAATTAGCAACTCAAAAATTCAGGACACTAAGTCTTGAATTTCTAAATTCAGGATACTTAGAGGGCATTTGGACATAAAAATTGTAAAATTCCAAAAAAAAAAAGTGAAATTTTTTCAAGTGAAAATGGTATTTGAAAATTAAAGTTGTGTTTGGACATGAATATAATTTTGGGGGTTTTTTTTTTTTTTGAAGTTTTGTGAGTGATCTGAGTGAAAATTTTGAAAAACAGTTTTTTAGAGTTTTTCAAATTTTCGAAAAATTCCAAAATTCATCTTCAAGTGAAAATTGAAAATTTTATGGCCAAACACCGATTTCGAAAAAAAGTAAAGAATTTCGAAAAAAAAGTGAATAAATTCTTATGTCAAACGGGCTCTTAGTCTTGAAGTTTAAGTGCATTGGCTAATCTTTAAATATATTGTAAATTGTAAATATATTTTAAATAAGAGAAATTTTCATAAAACACTATCTTTTAGTAGTAATTAGCCATCTATAGATACCATTTGCTATATTGCGGGTTATAGATACTTTTTTTGTGGTTATATGATGTATTTGATATATTTAAGCTATTGTATTCATGAATACAGTAGCAAAAACAGGCGTGAATCAAGGAAGTCCAACTAATCAGTTGTTGTATTCGAGTGTATTCGACTGTATTCATGGCGTGAAACATGGGATTACAGCTGGACAGATTACTGTATTCGACTGTATTCACAGCGTGAAACAGGGGATTACACTATTTTAAAACGGAAAGTGTATCAATTAACATAATAGACTACTAATACAACTCAACAAACTCAATTATAACACACAACATTTGTATTTCCGGTTATAAAAAAGAGTCTCAACTGGAAAATCTCCCCAAAACATAGCAATCTTCAGATAAATTATATAATACATATGAATACATAAATTATATTAATTGAAAAAATATATGAATACATAGAATACAGCGGGATACATTGAAATACAATGAAAAAAAAGACAGTGAATACAATGAAATACATGGAATACAGCAAGATACATTGAATTACAATGAAAAAAAAATAATGAATACAATGAAATACATGAAGCCACTCCGGCGAATCTGTGGCGGCCTAAGAGGAGAATTGGTTCGAAAGCTTTGTAACAGAGGATTCAGGCTGGACTACTCGATCAGAACGTCGTCGATTTTGATGAGGCCTTTCCACTCCTAGGGCTTGATTTCCATGGCCATTGCTTTGATTTCGAACCTCCATATGAAAGAATGAGAGATTTAAACAATACATTCCATAGGGATCAAGAACCCATGATTATACAAACAAGCCCTTGAATGATTTAAAAATTCAAGAAGAGACACTTAAAAAGATACTGAAACAGAATGGAGGGACAGAATATTTGGAGCAATGGGGTTTGAATGGCAGAATTGATTCATAGAAATTCTGGAGGGTAGTAAGATAAAGGGTTATGTTTTACAATGGGATGTATCAAAGTTAAGGTTGTATTGTGGTCCGGGCCCGGGCCAAACGAGCCGGGCCAAACAGGTCTGGGCTTGAGGCGGGCCAGGTTGAGGCGGTCCTAGGCCAAATGGTCCCGGGCCAAACGGTCCCAATGTGTGGAACCGGCCCACGGTGGTCCTAAGCCCACATGGTCCCGGGCTAAATGGGTCGGGCCCGCGGGCCTAACGGCCTTTTTTCGTTCCGAGCTATTTTTTTTAATTTTTTTTATCTAAGGCACTTTCTTGTAAACTATATATGTATATACTAGTATAAATTGCTTATATATAAATATATATAGTATGTATATATAAGGGTGTATTATGTGTATATATAATTATATATTGCCTTATATATATGTATATATATATA